AACGAGATATATAGGTGACTGCAATACTGATCGAAATCAGCTTGATCCCGCTCGAATTGTGCGAGTTGATCTGCGTGGTCGTGATGCTGATGGCGATTGTCGGTGGCGATCCATGGCGATCAAACCATTCCAGGCAGAATCGGTGTAGTAGAACATTTCTTCATACATAGAGGTCTGCGTAGTACTTACTCCGTGAGGAGAGTTTCGTAGAGCTCGTATTATTGTAGGAGTTGGGGGTCACACGCCACAAACCTGTGGGTGTTAGACCTGTGGGGATAAGTGGGGTTGAGGAGGAGGAGTTAGTACGCAGGACAAGTAATGGAGGGATGCTCCACTATAGACTAGAGGAGATGAAGTGCAGACGGATTGGCGGCGTTTGGATCGGGTAGGAAATCGGGCGAAAAGAAAAAGTGGATGGTAATGTTGTAGGCGCGTTCGGCAGCGAAAGTTTCGGGCTGGCCAAGATATGCTCTGGGATGGGACATAATCTGGAGGTGATTGTTGCAAGAGGTGTACTGGTGTGCACCTTCCCCGAGAATGTGAAGGTACTCAGAATTAATTCCTGTTGTGATGATATTTTGAAGGTGGGAATCGTTTCGATGTTGGTGCATGTATCGGAGAACTTCGGAGCGGAGTTGGGCGTGTTTGTTAGGATCGTTGTATATGCGCCTTGAAATAGCGCGAAAGCCGCAGGCACCATAACCAAATTCACTGATAATAGACCATATCCTCTGTGGTGGGGTACGAGGGTTTGGAAGCGAAGGTTGAGAGGAGCTGGAAGTATTAGATGTATCTGGCGGAGGCGAGGAAGTGGAAGATGTGTGACCGTTGGCGGCTTCTGTGAAAGGATCATAGACGCAGTTTTCAACGTGTGCTGTGGAATTGAGGACAATGTGTGTATGAGGCACGAGGATCACAACAGATTTTCGATTTTTGGCTCTACTAAGAGCGACATGGAGCTGTCCGTGAGAGAAGCAGTCGTAACGCAACTAAGTCTAGACCAATACGAGACAAAGTTTGACCCTGGCTGTTGTTTATTGTTAGAGAATATGCTATTCTCAAAGGGAACTGAACACGGTTAAAGGTAATGCCATTTCTTCCTACTTGAGCGTGGAACGAAGTACGAAGGATGAGGACGATGGAGTGATCACTTGATAGTTCCACTCGGACTACGCGAGAGTTTGGGGATACTCCCCGAATGACAACCTTTTGGCCGTTGACGAGGCCCTCGGAAAAAATTAAATTCCTGATCAACATTGCCAGAGCATCCGATTTGATTTGCAACTGATGGGGAGGAACGCCGGGGGTGTCAATGTTATTGAGATGTTCAGTTGAGCGGAAGGCGGTGGATGATGCTGGGTTGTTATGATCTTTTATGAGTCTGTCAGAGCTGTGGAAGGTAACGTTGTCGCCATGGCGTCTGGAAGATATGGCGTCGTTGCATGAGTCGATGGAAATGTTGGTGGTTGCTAGGATAGCGCGGTCATTAAGGTGGCGAGCGTCTTCATGGATATCAGGGTAAACGAAGTTGATCAAGTCGTTGAAATCTGTGGTGTACTGCAAAGAGAAGTGGTCCGTGGTGGAGGTATCATGGGTGTTTGATAGCGGAACGCGTTTGGCACCGTCGCTAAAGGTGGTTGTTGGGTGTATCTTTTCGCCGATGGACCGGACGAAGGAAGCGTAGGCAGGGTCTTCTTCGTCTCTTTGGGACATTGTTAGGCGCATACGTTTTGTCTTTGGCCATAGGTCGCTTGAGATGAAGGATGCTTCTACTGTTGTTTCAGCGGGGGTAGCGAAGGGCGCAACAGGGCCACACTGGCGCCAGTCGCCTGAGAAGCAAATGGTGATGCCACCGTACAAAGCTTCGGAGCGTCTGATGTCTCGCAAAGTCCGCTCCAGAGTCTCTATACAGCAGCGGTGTGTCATGGGTAGCTCGTCGAAAATAATAAAGGTACGTTTTCGAATGAGTTCGGCACGTTGTGACTCGCTCTTTATGTCGCAGAAGGCTCCATCGACAAGTTTTTCATTGAGGGGGAGTTTGAACATTGAGTGAGCGGTCCAACCGCCAGGAAGTTGAAGTGCTGCGATGCCGGTGGAGGCGACTATTAACACTGCTGTAAAACCTTCTCTTAATCGAGCAGCGATAACTTTCTCGGTGTGGGATTTGCCGGTACCAGCAGGGGCGTCAATCATGAAAGGCTGAGGCTGATTGTTCCGAACAGCGTCGACTACTGCGTTGTAGACCACTCTCTGTCCTGATGTTAAACCAGGCTCGAACCTGTCGGCGTAAGCTGTTTGTGCCGAGGGGTCGAAAGCAGCGATCATGCGTTGGTACTCGGTCGGTCGATGTGTTGGTTCCGGGGGTCCAAGCTGTGCGTTGGTTTTTCCGTGTTGCTGCAGTTGTAAATCGATAATACGCAATACTTCCCGGCAAGCGTCGGTATTGTCAAGGGTACGCGTGAAGTCTTGAATGAGGGGTTCATTGCAGTCATTTCATAGCTTAGGTGCGGGGCCACCGTCCAAAATGAGAGTTATGAAGAGACCGCGTAGTTGAGAGGGCATTTCGAAGGTGATGGCTTCTTCCAGGCATATGCAATATTCTTCCTGGCCTGATACCAGCCCTTGGGCTCTAGCAGAAGCTTGAAATGTGGAGTGTTCGGTGGTTACACCAGACGGTGAAGTGACTGTTCGTACATCGGAGAAAGTCCTAGCAGATCTTTTGTGGAGGAGGAGCCGTAGGTAATAACGGTTGCCAACCGCGGGAGACTGAAAGTTGATGCGACAAACGTGGGACATATTTTTTTGGGAGACGGTGTTGCCGTAGCAATCCAACCATTTGCCTGGTGGGGCGGAAGTAGGGATAGGATCGTCTTTTTTCTTTCTGGTGATGGTGTACATCTCAATGTAGTCTAGCAACGTTAGATTATTAAAGAGATCATCGAGTGGCCGTCTGAAGTATCTCATGAGGTCAGACAAAGCGTCCTCTGCACATTGACGACGCTCTTCGTCGGTAGCATTAGATGGGTAAGTGACGTTGTTTTCACCTTCAAGATGGGCGTGGATAACGGTTACTGCAGGATCACGACACATGGTTTCGTAGCCAAGCATACGCCAGGTTGCCTCAGCGGCGGAAATATATCTGGTCTTTCTATATTGCTCGATCTCGCTGGTGATGCCAGCAACGCGAGCACGTGCCAAGTCACTACCCTTCGTAATGTACTTATAAACGCACTTAACTGCGCAAGACCCAGAAACTATGTCCTTGCATATGTGGCAGTTGCAGCGGAGCAAAAAGTATGGGTTGTATGGCACAACCCATTCGTTTCCGATTTCAACATCCACCCATCGATTATCTACTTTCTGGCGAATGGTAGGGCGATCTCCGTTATCTATCCTTTTGTATTCAGCGCGCCCCGTTTTCCCATTGACTACAGCTGTCGATCGGAAGGGCTGAGGAAAATGCTTGTTGCAAAATGATTTCTTGGTAGTCTTGCTTGTGGTCATACACACTGCATGCACGTTCCGATGGCCAAAAGGCCGATGAATCATATGTTTCAAGACTGCCTGACGTAGACGGCCGTCTGCGATTTCAGGAGAAGGTAATTGAGCCCACACCCAGGAATCCATGTTGGTGAAAGCGTCATCGTTTTGGAAGGGGCAGATGCAGTGACAGTGGAGAAATCCGCGAGATTGATACTCGGTTGTAGAGAAGAAATAATCTAGTTCGGAGAAGACTTGTCCTGATTTGAGATCAGCAATAATCTGGGCAACTTTATGCTTGAAGACTCGGCAGCAAAGGTCTGGACGATCTGCAGTGGTCTAGCCGGGCAAAAGGTTGGCAACAATTCCAGGCCACTCAGGGTTGCACGTGATAGTTATAAAAAGTTGAGGACGACCTCGACGGTTGACAACGCAAAGGGCATCCTCGGTGTCTTCTTTTCGTTTTAAGGGAGATCCGTGGAATGTCGCGGGTAATAGCTAACCGGGTTGGTTGTCCCCTGTCGACTCCGTGATAGAACGCTTAGTGGCAAGACGAAGTTTGTTTTGCAGGTGATCAGACTCGAAATAGGCAAGTTTATTTTCTTCGAAGCGCGACAGCATGCCGCAACACCATTCTTGGGTTATTCTGCTATTTGTTTTGAATATTGGTTCAGAGAGGAGACGCTGACGGCAGGAGAATAAGAATGGGACGTGTCTGGTGTCAGCACGATTCATGGTTTGAGACTTGCTTCGAGGCGTCTCGCTAAAATGTCCTTGGCTCCAGCCGCTTTCGCCATTGTTAAACAAACACGGAAACTGCAGTGGTTCGCACGAAGGAGAACAGAGATTCAGAAAACGAGGCTGATTATCAGGGCTGTCCCTCGGGTACGTGATGATTGGTTGCGTAGAGGAGCATTGACTTTTAGAGGGGTACAATGTTGCGGCGATCTCAGGAGTTTGAGGTGCCCCGAGGACGTTCGGATCGTCCACTGCGCTTGCTTCTGCGAATTCTATGAAAGCAGGTTCTGAGGGAACGGTGCTACGTCGTAGTACCTCGTCTACAACACTCTTGTATTGTACAACCCATGGGAGGCTGCTGGGGAAGTAGGATCTCAGTGAAGCAGCTGTGTTGGGGTGTACATGGAGGGCATGAAACTGCAAGGTAAACTCTGAGTGATAAATGTAGTAACGGGACGAGTTTGCTGCATTCATCCCTTGGTAGTGTTCTTGTAAGTCAAAGATACGATGATACGCGCGACCGTGCATAGTTAACATTGAGCTACCGGTAGGATTAGTCCAGGTTCGACTCTGTAATCCATTGGCAGCGAGAGCAGCGAAGGGAAGCAGGCTATTGTAGTTTCGCTGGTTACGGCGAAAATGCGGAGTGTTGTAAATTTCGAAGACGTTACGTGGAACGTCCTTCAATTTGTGTATTGCATATTCTCCGTTTGCGCAGCAATTGAATCGCCTGGCTCTTTCTTCTTTCCACAACATGGGTCCACAATGAGGACACACATAATTGTGTGCGTCTTCTAGGTCGTTGTATGCGAAGGTCGTAACTGGCTGTTCGTCTATGGGCGAGTTGAACGGACGGATTCCTTTGAAAACAGGACTTTGCTGGAAGGGGCTCGAGTGTCTAGGAGAACGCATACGTGTGAAGTGGTCTCGCACTAGTGCACGTGCTGAATCGTTGGGGGAGTTGGCGGTCCGACTACGTCTTCGTTCGTCTAGGATAGCACGACGAGCTGCTCGCCGCCTTGCGGGTTCCGAGTTCGATTGTTGCCTTGCGAGGTTTAAGTTTGATGATCGAGTTGATTGTTGTCTTGCGGGGTTTGAATTGGGGTCTGAGTTGGAAGAACGTAAGGTACGTAACCGGTGGGCACGGTTTGTACGGGATTGTTCACGTTATGCGTTGGATGCGGAGTCGATACGGGCAGCGTGCGTTGATGATCGAGTCACCCGTCGAGAATTGCTCGCGGGAAGTCGATTGGCCATGAAAAATGGTGGCAGAGAAGAAGCTGAGCGCTCGTGAGTGGCTGGCAAGGCCGTAATGTACACCAGTAAATGTAACAACTGCTGCGCGCACCGTTCAGAGGTCGTCGAAGTCGGCGGAGATCTCGGCGGACGGGGCCAGGGCCTCCTCTTCGGCGGTGATGCGGGTGGTCCTGCGGTGGGCCTTCTCCGCGAGGACTTCTGCGATCTGCGTTGGTGATGTTGGAGAACGAGAGGCGACAAAATGGAGAGCCTAAAAAGATTGTGGGGCACATCAGTTCATAGTAGAAAACTTGGAGGCACCTGAAAGGGCACGGATGGCATATCAAACCGCGAGAAACAGGAATGTTCTCGAGTGCTTGACAAAAAAATCAATGCAGTACACGACAGGATGGGGAGCAGAAACAAACGCTGAACAAAAGGACGAAAAGTTACGCACCAGAGCCTGGTGTTTTCGTTTGGCGCACCGCACGTGGAGTCCCTGAGGTTCTCCTTGAATAGACATGTTCTCGAGAACTCCACAAAAAAAAAATACAGAACACGAGAGGATCGAGAGCAGAGACAAACGCTTAACACTAAGAAAACTTAGAACGCACCACAGCCTCGTGCTTGTGCTTGGCGCAGCGGATGTGGAGTCCTTCCGGGTGCTCCTTGAGCAGCCAGGACCGCACTACGACGGCCTTGTCCTCGATCTTCCCGGTGCAGCCCTCCTTGAGGTCTTCGAAAATGTCGTCCGGGTTGTAGGCGCAGCAGGTGGTCTGATTTGAACAAACACAACAAGCAGTGGACAGGCGATGAGACAAAGTACCCAGGTGAATATGATCTCCTTTGAAGGGATGTAAGTATGTATTACCAGGGCGGAGGTCCGGCACGTGGGTACACCTACTGTAAACGTCGGAATTTTCCCCCCGGAATAGAGTTTCCCTCCCCCGCCCATTACCTTTTCGGCCTGGAAGCATACGTCATTTGTTGTAGATTGTGATGCGGTTGGCGCTACTTTTTTTTTTCTTTTTGCATCTCGAGGCCCATAAAGCAAACCACAAAAAGCATGATACGGTGTGGAAAATTCATGTCCAGATCTATCTATCTGCGTTTCGAGCGAGGTTTGTCCTATACCGCGACAATTCGCCTTCCATGTTGTTACGGTGAAGCGCTTGGTTGTTGTGTGTTCTTACAGGTTTGTAATCCCTAGAGTCCATCCACGGTAAAACGAATGACCACGACCCCCCGCGAAAAATAACCAACCGCACCAGGTGTTCATCAACGATCTGTTGGAAGTCGTAGAGGCAGTCCGGAAGGGAGTAAAAGTAGGGGACACGGAAACTTAGGTGTCAGGAATGCTGTTTGCGGATGATTTTGTCGGTATGTCGGACACCCCTGAGGGACTGCAACTGCAAATTGACGCGGAGGAGAAGTTAACTGATAAGTGGAGATTGTCTGCGAACGTTCAGAAGAGTGCCGTCACGGTATGCAACGAGAACAAGGAGGAACCAGTAGAACATAGATGGAAGTGGGGGATCGAGGAGATTGCAGTAGTGGACCAGT